CCGGTGTCACGAACCGCTCAGGACCCGGATCGCCCGACCTGCTCGTTCCGCCCGTTCCTCCGATTCCTGCCATGTCGCCTTCGTCTGGCATGAGCACCCCGTACTCGACCGCCGACCAGCACTTCTTCGTTCCTGACTTCCGCGACTCGATGATGTCCTCCAGCACCGCCGGCCGCACAAGTATCGCCCCAAGTCTCGCTCAACGAGGCAGCGTTGCATCGACCATGTACCGACAAAACGCCATCGTATCTCCACTCCCTGCTCAGACCATCGTACGCGGAAAGGCAGCTGTCGTCAGCGTCAAGTCGACTGCGACCAATAGTCCCGCAGAGACTCCAAGCATGGAAACACCACCCGTACCTCAAATCGATCCCAAGCACACTGTAAAGCCCATCCGAATCCACATGCCTGGTATCAGCCCCGCAAACTCCGTCCGAAGTACCGCACAACTTGGCCCTGTCCGAGCACTGAACATCACCAAGAAGAAGAGCACCGACATCACACCACCCAAGAGCTCCTCGAACTCGACAAACAGCGCAGACCGAACCCTCGTCAACACTCCCGAAGTCCTCGTACCCTCTGCGCGACCACTCACCGGCTACTCAACAGCCTCATCAGATGACGGCGCTGCGCACTCGCGTGCACGCAGGGGAAGCTTAGCATCCGACTCCGGCGACGACTCCGACGATGATCACAAGCGTGCGCGACAGACCCTTCTTCGCAGTAACTCGGGCAGTGACCGTGATTCAGAATACACTGAGTTCCAGGATAGCACACCTACCAAGGACCGAAGTCCTTTCACAGACAGCTCGTCGCTCGAACCGCCACGACCGATGATGTCGCAGCGTATCACCTCGTACGATACTGAGCGAGGCTTGCGCACACCGATGACGCCTATTGTAGAGGAAGCGTCAGCATCGAAACGCGGCAGCACCGTCTCAAATAGGAGGGACCAGAGTCCTTTCTCTGATAACAACAAGAGCGAGTTGTAAATGAGGTTCTTTGTTCAATCTGCAAAGACATCTAGCCATTGCGGCAATCACAGTTTCCTTACAATTCTCTTCTATCGAAGATCTGGGCATTACGACTCCCGAGATCTGGCATCTCGGATGCATTACTCTAACTTTCGTTTTTTTCATTCATTGATATCCAAGCATCTTTCTGTCATGATCTGATTGATCTTCAACTTAACGTCTAGCTTTGACGGACGTAGTGCGATGACCACCGCACGGTTTTATATTCCTGTATGTATGTATTTCGAGCGCTGAGCGAGCAAGCGAAGCGACGTGGATGGAAAGGATTGGGATAAGCAGGATGGGAGATAGGCTGAAATGAAGATATCGATACCACCCCATTACCATCAAACTCCTTTGACTTGCTTCAGTGACATGATTGTAGAAATGATAACCATAGAGCTTGGACTGATGAGATGTTTCAACGTGTTCTAGATATAGCGTCTGAAGTGCATCGGAAGCACAGACAGCCGCATTGTGAGACGGCTGTATCTGCGGCACTGGTACATGTGTTCTACACAGCTGTCTTCTATTATACATTGTCGCATGTTGCGCTACCTGTACACTGGTGGCATAGAACTGTTGTATAATGCAAGCTACCGCTGTAATTCACCTAGAGCACGACGACGAGATAGAGATGAGACAGGTGCTACTAACGGCCGGACACGTATGTGGAGCATGTCGAGAATAAGGTGGATCTGTATGCGGGACGCGGTTCTGGTCAGGTACGCGGCGTCCGGCGTATACAGAAACGGGCGTTGAACAGCATCGGGGAGCTCCGAAGTGGGCTGGAGGGGTAGCTAGCTGTAGGTAGCTACCGCGACGGGAGCAACAGCAGAAAGATACAACAAGTCTTTCTTTTCGTAATCGTCGCTTCTATTGTTATTACTCGCTCTACTCTTCCACAGTATTCAGGTTTCGAATCGTCTTCTGAATATTTACGTCCACATCCTCTCACATACCCGATCAGCTGCATAGCTTCACGACCAACGCATGTCCACCACCAGCGCATCGGCCCGCATCAAAGCCCTCTCAAACCACCTTTCCGTGCCACCTCAGCATTCGACGTCTACTCCAAGCATGTCTACAGAAAAGAAACCCCCGATTACCTGCCATGTCCTCGATACGACCCTGGGTCGCCCCGGCCCAAACATACCCGTCACCCTCACCTTACATCCCGCTACAGCAGCAAACGCAGAAAGCCCTACAAAATTCAGCGGCCTGACAAACACCGACGGTCGCGTCGTCTCCTGGACACCCTCCTCACCATTCTCCTCCGCCAGCTTAGAAGAAGTCTTCAAACAAGAAGGCGACCAGAAGTACACACTGTCGTTTGATACCGAGGCATATTTCGGGGAGAGGGGAGTGAAGACTTTCTTTCCGGAGGTAGAGGTCAAATTCTTGGTTAGGCAGGAGGCAAAAGGGGAGCATTATCATGTGCCGGTGCTGTTAGGGCCGTTTGGATATACTACGTATCGGGGAAGTTGAGAGGTAGCTATATCAGGGATATGACTTTCGCCTTCACTTGGGAGGGTTTTAGATGGCCAAAGACAGAGTTAGGGGCCGACGTTGCTCGAATTGAATCGAGGGGACCATTAGTACTCTTGGAGAGTTGTCTTTCATCACTCCACTTGATGAACATAGTGGATTGACGTTATTACGTTTTGATACTGAGACGTAGGCGCAACGCTGTTTGGGAACTCGGACGATGATTGCAATACAGGTATATACCACAAACACGTACGTTGATTGACAGGTGACTGAGCAGATCCATTTGATTCATCGATTGTAGCAAATGCCACAGCAAGCATAGTCTATCTGTTTTATCTTACATCGTTACAGTCTTTTCTACCTTCATATCTCATACTTTGGTTGGTTAATATACCTACGTATACTTGAAAATTGCTTGATTTGCTCGAAAAGCTATTGTTAGCACGTTGTTTTTGACTGAAGTCAAGAGAAGAGCACATCTCATGCTTCACCACACCGCTTTTTCTCTAGACTTTGAGAAGCGCTACTGCTTCACACCGGCATCTTCTCAGATCACTCCAAGACTACCCATTGGTTCCCGGTCACTTGCATCGGTCGATGGTAAAAGGATATCGAAGTAATGCAAAGGTGTATTTGGTAGAATCTGATGCCGCGACGTTTCGCATAGTATTGGAAAGTAAAAGTAAAAGCATGTGGTGTATGGAGATGGGTCCGGTTGGTGTAGTAGCACCTATCAAAAGCATCGATGTGTAGGTTTCAGGCAAAGCTAGACCATGACACACTTGCTCCGTACGGAACAAGCACATGTGTATCGATCAATACGCAAGTATAGCGAGACTCGATGGCTACACCGTCGTCGCTATGCAGCAGGAGAGATCGGTTATCAACAATTACGTCACAATTAAGCTTTGCCGTACACACTGCTGCACGCTCGACGCGCTACGTGCGGACGGTTGTTCGCTCGCATGAGCCAGATGTATGAAATCAAGAAGCAATAGGGTACGGGGAAGCGGAAAAGCCGTCCTCCCTAACGTCCATGATACACGTCTGCATGTCGTAGACTGGCATCGCCCTGTCAATGGCTCACTTTTCAGTGACGGATTTCTAAACATGCGACTTTTCGATTCCACGCAGTTGGGTTTGTCGAGACCCGTCCGTCGACATCAGGATCTCGATGAGCATCGGGAAAAGGAAGACGATGAAACTTTGCCATGATGTGATTGGGACGGCGGTGTCAAGGTCCGCGCGATGGCTGATACTTTGAGCCGATACAATTAGAGGATGTGTCGATCGGCGAAACATGTGTGCATCGAGGTCTGGAACGGGACCGGCATCTGGCAGAATCCAAGCCGTTGGCCGTCGTGCTGGGTTCGATGGCTTATCTGGGTGGGGGAATGGGACATGGGGAGAGTTGGGAGAGAGAGAGTCGCATACACGTGTCAGTTGAAACTCTGCTGGCTTTTGGTCGAGGGCCATCGGGAAGGATGATGGGAAGGCATGCAGAAATGCGGTGGGCGGGAATAGGCCAACAGTGAATGGAAGGCTGGCGTGATTCCGCGGGCCAGTGCCGGAGAGGCGTCTCGTGGCAAGCGAGCCAAAAGGGGCTGCGGATCGGCGGTCCATGGACGGCGGTGGGGCCTCGGCTGCAGTGATTGGTTCTAACGCCTGGCTAGTGGCACCTAGCGGCAGACTTTGATTACGAACCCAAGAAATCACGTTATGCGCTTGGCAAAGCTGCGTCACTCCCAGAAATTGCTCGCTCGTCCTGTCCTCTGACCTCATCGCGAACGCCTCACTGTCATCGTCACCACGAGCACAATCCCCGTCAACGCCGGTTTTGAGCCTCATTGAGAAGCAGGAACATCCATCACGCGCAACCACAGCCCCGGATTGCCCTAAGAGTCGTGTAGACCAGCGCGACCGTAAGTGTAGAGATTGCGACGGCTGCGAGCGTCACCACAGGGGCTTGACGTCACTATTGGATTTCGACAAGCAGACACCAGCATCGCGACCAGAGAGCCGGCGGTCAACAATATCGATATTCATCGGATTGAGACGGCCGTACCCCGCATCTGCCGCCTTCGCTTCGATTCCTTTTGCTGAGGTACGTAGTAGTTGTGTCGTTGCCGCTGCCCGTCGCGCTGTTGTTATCGCTCGCTGCCGACTTTGCGACGTTCTCAGCGTCCTGCGACAGCCCTTTGCGCCCGTGTCTGTCTGCTCCCAGCCCGTCGCATCGAGTGCCTGCACTTTTAATTTACGTGCGCTGACATATCCGCCCTCCAGCACAGGTGAATTGCTGTTCGAGTCGCCAGTGTTTCCGTCCCTGAACGTCGAGACATCGAGACAAGCCAGATCGCGTGGGTGTGAGCGAACGAGCGAAGAGAGGACAAGGCCCGAGTACCACAAGCGATCGACCAGGACACCACCCCTACGTCACCACCCCAAAGTATGGCAGCCGCAACCCAAACCGCCCATACCTCTCCCCCGACCTCCAAGATGTCCTCTCCCAAGGACAGTAAAAGTAGTCTTCCTACCGTGACCAAAACTGAAGGTATGTATGACCCCGTCGCTGCCGCCGTCGCGGTACCTCACCGCTACTGCGTCACCATGTCTCCCCTTTAGCTGCCTGCATTGCGCGCGCATACTTCGTCGTCATCCTCCCCTTTGCGTCGTCGCACCGAAGCATTACTAACCACCACGCTGCAGCGGAGCCAGTAAAGTCCGAGTCGTCTCCCAAGGTACAGCGTAAGTAGCTCCCTGCCCCGAGACTGTCAACTGTCGTTGTGCACCTCGTCCATCGTCAGTCTACGATGCTAACCCACCGCCAGCTGCGACCACGGAAGCGGCCACCAACGCAGACACAGCAAAGCCCCCAACCTCAAATGCCCAGCCGCTTGCACCTCCACCAAAGCCAGCACCCGCGACCACTGGAGATACACCAGACTACTTCAACACCGTACACAACCCATTCTCCCTCGAGCCCAACGTCTTTGAGCAGTCCTTTGGCGGCGAGTCTGGAAACTTGCAGACACCTGGAGGCCGCCCTATTCTTCCACCCGTTGCGAACATTACGTCACCGGCACCCCTACCGGGCATCACACCAGGGTGGCAGGGCTTACGCGCAGGACCCTTGAGCCCTGCTATGCTGAGCGGCCCGACTGGACAGACAGATTATTTCAGCGAGTCATTCCGAGGCTTCCCAACACCAAACGAATCCTCTCTCCGCACCGGCCTTACTCCTGGCGGCGGTGGTTCCATGTTCCCAGCCCCTAGCCCGAACACCCAAGCCATCTTCAACCTCCAGAGCGCTGGCGTAACACCCGGCACTGCCGACTTCCAGCAATCTGCCTTGCGCGCAGCTGCTCAACACCAAGCTGCTAACAACAACAAGTCCACGTCTAACGCACCTACGTCGCAGCCAGAAGGCGTGACCGCAGGCATGGACCGTCCTAACAACAACTACCAGCAGGTGCAGCAGTCACAACAGCGCGCCCAGAACGACCCATATCCAAACCATGACGTCAGCAGTGCAGCTAACGATCTATTGTCCTTTGCCAGTCAAAATGGTGCTGCACGCAACAACCAACCACCTTACTCCATGGCTCCACAACAGCAATCGATGAACGCTGGGCATATGCCTGTCCAGCCTGTCAACGCCAACCATGGTCGCCGTGATACCAAGGGTTCTATTAATAGCGTTCAATCTGCAGAGACCGGTGACTTCTCAGAGAGCGGCCAGAGTGAGCAAAACAAGACTGGTACACGGTCGCGCGCTAAGAAGGGTGCCGCTAACGGCAAACAAGCTGCCGGAAACAAGCGCAAAGCCGAAGATGGCCCCAAGAACTCAAGAAAGAAGAGCAACGCCAACCAATCCATGGGCGACGACATGGACGACGGCGACTCCGATGACGAGAACAACATCAAAGAAGAGGAATACGATAGCAAGGGTCGCAAGATGACCGATGAGGAGAAGCGTAAGAACTTCCTCGAGCGCAACAGGTATGTCTGCTTCCTATTACTCACACTGTCAATCACTAACATGTATAGGGTCGCTGCTCTCAAGTGCCGACAGCGCAAGAAGCAGTGGTTGGCAAATCTTCAAGCCAAGGTTGAACTATTCAGTACAGAGAACGACGCGCTCTCTGCCACTGTCACACAGCTTCGCGAAGAGATTGTCAACCTCAAGACACTGCTTCTTGCTCACAAGGACTGCCCCGTATCGCAGGCTCAGGGCCTACATGGAGCTGCCATGAATAACTTCCTCGGAAGCGACATCAGCCATCAAAACCCATATGGCATCGCTCAACTGCAACCCAATGGCGTCCACATGATGCCGATGCAGCAAGGCCAGATGATGAACCGGTTCGTATACCAATCCCAAAGGAACCAGAGCCCTGATGAACAGGAAGACGGCCGGTATCCATCAAAGTATTGAGACAGTCGCTCACTTGTTTCAGGTAATTGGGAGTAAACAAGCTGCCTGACCAATCCACACGTGCACACCGCTAGTGTCATGACTCTCTATCATGGCAATGACGCAAAAGCGTGGGGCATCAGCAGCTTCGACGATCACGATGCGCTACCTCGTACGACCTTGTAATCTATCTACCCAATCTTCTCCTTCCTCTCCTTCTCCTAGGACGCATCGTCGTCACTCTCAACGCATGGACGGCGCTTGGCGTTACGTCATTGTTGCATCCTTCTCACATCAAGGAAAATGCAACAACCCGGACTACCAAAACATCATTTTACCATTTCCTTCTCGGGCCGGACGGCTGGAACGGCAGGGATTCATGGGGCTGGCTACGTACCTCGTGCACGCGAACACGAATCTTCCTAGTCGGTGATGACTTTCTTCATCCGTTTCCTTCAGTAATCTGTCCATCGTTGGCGTGTATATATGGAGGTGTGCTCAGGTAACATTTCACTGGCGTTACAGAGGCGATTATACACCGGAATGTTACTTCCTCTTGTTTTCTGAAATTAGTGTAGCGCACCAGTCTAGAGTTGCGCTCGGCGTTTGGGGGTCTTTTGGCTTCTAGTCTTCCTTCCTTCTCGGTGGTGTATTCTGAAAGAAAGAGCTCTATCCCAACATTTGTTTCTCGAGTCTACGGTAACAATAGGGATTATGGCGTAGAGAAAGGAATGGGAATAACTGATACGTTTGGCATACGTGTTGGTGTTTAGGCATGAAGCTATGTAGCGTGGAATGTATGTATACCGCGAGCAATTCAAGCCTTTTTAAATTCAAAGCTGTCTACAAATGATTTGTATGTGTATTCAAGTTCGGCTCTCATGTTCAAAAATCGTGTACCTTTCACTCTGCCTGTTTGCTGCTTCCCTATCGCATCATTCGCTACCTTCATAGCCTTCTTGGTTCAAAAGTTCGGCAATCTCTTCCCCGTGTCTCCTAAGCAATTCCTCCCCCTCCTCCTGATGCCTCCTCACCACACGCATCAGTTCATCAACCCTCGTCTCTCGCGCTATGAGGTCTACCTCGCGTCTTGCCAGTATCGTCTGTCGCATGGTCATAGCTTGCTCCCGCCGATTCAGATTACCTTCGCGAAGATCAAGTTGCCGGCTACGGACCGCTCCATGCGCAGGGAGTGGTTGGTTAGCCGACAGATCAATGAGTTCGTCTGCTGTCATGTCAATGTCTATAGGGGTCTCTGGAGTGTTGGGGCCGGAAAGATGGGCGTGCGGGATGTTTGTTCGACGGGAGCCTGCATTTGGCTGATGGGGCGGCGGTGACTCGAAACCCGGAGTATGTTGCTGATTACTTGCTTGTTGTTCTTCTGTCAGTCTGCACCGGTTTGCGAATTCTTGAGGCGGACTAGATCCTGCTGTGCGCAGGTGCTGGTCCTCGCGGTATTGTTCATCCTCACGTTCGGTTTCACGCCGGCGCCCGCCTAGAGTGTTGCCAGTGAGAGCAGAGGGCGTAGTAATGTTGTTTTCTGTAGTAGGTCGGAAAGGGTTGAGAGCTCGGCGATTGTTCAAGAAGCGGTTGAACGCACCTGCAGCGATAACGTCGGTAACTCCTCGAGTACTCGTGTTCACCCTCCTGAGACCACGAGGAACAGGGGCGTTGTCACTGTTACTGTTCGAGTTGGCACCCTCGTTCGAACTGCCGTTTATGTTCCTGTCGTTACCAGTCCTGTCTGCAACCCGTCGCCTCCTACTACTCCTAGACACCTGCCTGTACGGAGCCCGGTTCCTTATATCAGCGAGATCTCTTCTGAAGTCCTCGAAGTTCTGAACGTGCGTATAGTAATCCGCGTCATCGGAGTCCGAGTCAATCACAATGGGAGCACGTTGCTGCTCCTCCCTTAGGGCCCTCGATCCGTAACGATCAGCTGGGCTTAGGAGTTCGCGGCGAAGTCGTCGGGCGTGCTGTTGTGGTATATCATCATCATTCCCAAAGTCGCGTCGGGTGCCAAGTTGCTGACTGGTGATATCCGCGCCGATTCCATCGAGACCTGCGAACATGCCTGCCATGCGCTGTGATGCGCTTAGGTTTTGTGCGTCTGGAGGAATGGCAAGAGACCGTGCAGGGATCCAGACTGCGCGACACAGAGGACATCGCTTTTCTTCATGGGAGTGGCTGCGGAGCATGTCGTCAAGACAGTTGGCGCCGATATGGTGGCTACATTCGGGAATATTGGTGATGCGTAAGCATTGCTCACTAGTGTAGTCATCGAGACAAATCGGGCATTCATCTTGGTGTGGGAGGTCGTTATCATGCGTAGTATGATTGCGGACGAAGGTAGCCGCGTTCATTGCGTGCAATTACTGGGTACAACGGGTTGACGTGTAGTAGTTTGTGATCGGTCAGAGTCGGATGAGCGTAGAGTCCAAAGTAAATGAATCAAGTAGAGACATCCTGCCTTGTGCTGTGATAGAATTCTCAGTAAGTGAAGTTGAAGGGGAAAGGAAGTGCGATTGGCGTGTACTCCTTTGTGGTGGCAACGTAACAAATGAGGGTGGTTTAGGTAGTGAAGAACCGAATCTAAATGTCGAGAGCGAGAATGTGTGAGTACAGTACGTCATCTTAGGCAGATGCGTCGCTGTAGTGAAAGTGAGTTGAGCTCAGGGTTCAATAGATCACGCACGAGTGCGATGAACACGGGGTTGAAAACAAAGATGCGACAAGATCTAGGGAGCTGCAGCATATTGATGCTACGCAGCCAGTAATTCAACAGCTAGCTCCAGAGGCAAACAAGTAACTGGGATAAAACCGACTTCAACCAATGAATCGGATTGCTTCTCTGAGAACATTTACAAGACATCTTCAGCCACTTGCTGGGCTTTACATCCTTCTAGGCAGCGCATCGAGCCATTCGAAACCTATAAGAGATACTAAAAGTCTCCCAACCCGGACCGAGACTTGTACGGTATGTTATCTGTGGTCAGTCTCATTGGCTCATTACATCATTGAGACTTATACGAGGTTGGGGCTAACCTCGAGACAGCTGTGTAGGCGTGTGTACTAGCAATACGTTGTTGAGATACAGATGTGTAGTTGAGATTGTATCTTGTGGCACTGCTTAGTTGGCCAGACGTTTATAGCGTTCTTAGGGTGTAACATTCGAGGTATGAATACGAGTCGTGGTAGTAGTGACGTCCTCTTCGGTGAACCTATGATCCGAGGTATGCTGACGGTCTCTTGCTCCTAATACACGCGCGAAACCCGAACCATTTGCAGAGGATTCTGAAGACTCTCGTAATCTAGGTAGGTCATCATTTGAGATCATGTCTCCACCCCACCGCAGATACTCTGCATAGTGACCAGGACTGATCGGATCTTCTGGAGGCGGAGATGGAGATTCCCGATGAATATCGAAGGTACTGTCTGAAGAGGTGTTGATTCTCGCTGAAATTTGTTCCAACGTTGGAGTGGCACGTGGCACTGCATCTGTGTTGTGATTTGCGATGCTCATTAGGGAGTAAGGGTTATGGTCAAGCTCGAGCGAATTTGTTTCCATCAAGCGTCTCCTTCCTAGACGACTGTCTTGACCAGAAGTGCCCAGGTCTCGTGTTGGCTCTTGCGTACGCACCCCTGCACTTGAAGGCGCCTGATATGCTGCGTTGTCTTCATATGCTCTTTGAAGCTCCTGGTCAAGCCTTCGGGCACGGCGCTCAACTGCTTGAAGACGCACGCGGGTATCTGCACTCGAAGTGTGTTGCTCATCGCTAATGTTCTGGATTAAATCCAGTCGCCTGAAGATCTCATCCATATGACTATTGATGAGACTGTTGTTTGTAGCCCGGTCATATGCCCAAGTACGCTGCGCTCGATGCGTCCTCGCCCGTCGCTCGAATCGAGCCGGCTCTCGCGGCAAACTGAAAGCTATTAAACTCTCTGTTGTGCTTATGTCCCTTGTTGCCATCCAAGCAGCTTGTCGTGTATACCATTCTCTCCGACATTGAGGACATGTGTTGTTACGAGGACTATCACTGTTGAGATAGTCATCAAGAAATTGTTGACCAAAGCGATGGTAGCAGTCTTTGATGAGCACAGTGACGGCTTTGTGCGAAGGACCATATACATCCAAGCATATGCAGCACGTTTCATCGTGTGATGCGGTGGGGAGTGGTACTATGTTCGATCGTTTGAGTGCTCGGAGGCTACCGACCGCATGGCTCGTATTGCTAAGTTACATCAGTGGTGTGTTCGACTATAGAAGTAGATAAAGACCTACTCTGACAAGGATAGTACAGATCTTGTTGACATGCTTTTAACTTATCAACCGCCCAGTATAGAAAGAGCAGTACCGCGTTACGGATACTAATAATCAGCGTGAAGAATTGTCACTCTGTGGAAGGGTAGTGTTCTTGCTATAGCTGCTAGACTTCGCGTCATGACCGCTGTAGCTGGTACCTCGAGTGGATCTTGTTTGCGTATACATACAAATGTTGGCAATGGCTGGCGAGTGATCGATAGAAGGCGCAATATTCACGAACCATGGAACTGATGGTCTCTTGACGCGTCCTGGTACCTGTATCATGCAAACGCGTGTTGTAGTAAATATGAGCCTGTGTAAGACCCCCCCAAAGATTGACTGGACTGTCGTGAGTCAATCAACATAGAAGAACGCAGTCTTTCGACTACACGCAGATGACTTGGACAGAGAATTCGACGAGCTGATCGTGAAGACCACAACAACGATATTGTCGGGGTCACCGGTACCCAAGTACTGGAAGGGCAATGGGACGTACTTGCAGTTCCGTGGCTCCACTCAACCCTGAACCAAAATCCATGATCAAGTCTGGCTGTGCCTAGATCTAGCAAGTCACAACATAAGTACAGTACACTAGATCTCCGGATCGCATTCACATTTGCGAAAATTTCCCCCAACTCTTGATCGGGATCTGACACAAGTACGCATTGCTATGAGGTGTACACTTTAGCTTCGTAGCAATTAGTCGATATTCTGTATGACGGTCTAGAAATCGAAACCGGCTTGGATGCCGAACACTATCCGCGTGCGACTCATAACATGGTGGACGCATGTTTAAGTGGAGACATGACCGGAAATAGAAGGCCAATAGCAGATACTCGCGCTTGATTCAATGCATGGCTGGGCATGACGGATAGCCGGATACCAATACCCCTAATCTCCTCCTTTTCAGGTGCCGGCGTCGTTTTCGGGCCTTAGATAGAATCCTTCGATGTGAAACGTTCGAGTCCATCCTGGAGATAAAAAGTGGCGTAGCCCGTGGCTGTGGAGGCGAGTGTGGCTCACTCCACTTGGCGTGGCTTTAATTATGGCTTTATCTCGACGACAATATATCTCTTGTTGGTTGTGAAGAAGCGAATAAGAAGATGCAGCTTCGCGTATTGAGATTCCAAGGTAGAAGAATGCTGATGGGATTTATTGTTTCCCAGTTTAGCCCCTAGCCAAGAGCACGCCTGCGCCACTTGCTGAGCCACTATAACCTTTGTGCCACCCCATTCCATAACTTCCGAAGAATAGAGCGAGTGCACTTCGGATAATCATTGTCTGCTCAGATTCTGCATTGTGGTAGAGGTGTTTCTATCCAAGAACAACTGGTGTACCGCTGTGTTGTACAAGGCAGAGGGGCATAACGCTGATTCGTGGAATTGATGACACGAACGCCTGCTATATTGTCCCGTAATCTTGTATACACTCTCTTATTTCCTCACAGATGCCGTCTTTTCTCCGAAATCTGGGGTTTTGAAGCCGTTGCATTGCCGACGCACTCTGCATGCACGCCACCATGTACTCCATCATGTACCCCATATTGATGGATTTAAGACACTCCACCAGTCAAAGCATAGCTGTAACCTGGCTCAAAACGGTGCCAATCGCCTTGCCATGTTAGGTGCCTTGCCGCTTTCACGTGAACCATTGAATGAAATGTTGGATTGATCATTCCCATGCTTTTGGTGTTCTGTGGCTAGGTAGCGCATGAACCTCCTGGTCTCGAATTTCACCTATGTTTACTGATCAGTACCCGCAAGGCGAGAAACATTATTGTGTGGTATCCACTTGAGTCCTGCGCCCTCGCAGAACAATCTGCACACCCTAATTCCGCACGATAATGCTACACGCCAGGTCGCACTCGTGTGAGGTGGGTTCGGAGAATATCTGCGATATTGAAAAGCGTATTTTTAATCTATTGAGAGCCCGGATCCTTCTCAGTGTCTCCATAACTGACTCTTGTAGCAGCCTCGTGCATACCGACACACCGTTCTAGACGGTAGTTCCTAGTTTTCGTGAGGCCGCCGCAAGCGGTATGCCCGCTGCCAATCCTTTTCTATGGGCTGCATCCGTGTCGCCCTTCTTGGCGGAAAGAACGCAGACCAGATTAACTATGCATTTATTTCTTCTGGACGAGATAAGATAGTGTAGATACTGGTAGGGTACATTGCCGGTTGCCCACTAAGTGCCTGACCCAGTGACTAGCGATCAGCTCCATTAGGACCTGAGCGCAGAGACTAGAAGATCGCTGTTTGCTGGCATCGGCAACCAGGACTCTCCGCATTACCTTCCGACTCTTTCTATCGCCGTGCGCGTGGCGCAACCCCTCAAAAACCGACGTCGTGTAGTCTCCACTATCGATACTATCCGAGTAGTCCAAGAGCGGGCATACAGGATAGACACCGGCGAAATACCGGTTGGCGGAAGCAATGGTCGAAGAGGAAATGAGAGGAGGTTTGCAGCGCTAAGCCTTGCGCTACAGCATGTCACTCTCCTAAACATACAAGCGCCAACACACAGTGGAGGCTACTAGGCGTTTCACGTGTACTATCACCATGCCAAAACCACATGGTACCGTCCGATATTCGCCTTCAAGCGCATCCTTCCAGTACCAAGCTTTCACAGCAGCTCTTGGCCCTGCTGTGACTCGGGCGGAAAGACCGTCGCCAAGATCTATGTCGAGGTCCGCGAATGAGAGGAGGAAGAACAAGGAGGGCAACCCTAATGCGGTAAGATGAGATGAGTTGAGGGTGCGAGGTCAGCAGTGCAGGAGGCATGGCAAAGATACCTGAGCGTGCTAGGGAAGGAGGTGAGAGAGAGGATGTACAGGTCCCTATAAGTATGGCTGGATATCCCACCGGTTAAGGTTCTATCCAACAGCCAGGAGCA